CCAAATATATACTCTAATGTCAAACACATCTTATATTTTGATATGGACGGAGTATTTAATATGAAGTTCTGAACTTGTAGTTAGCCTGTCATTGACATCCAACTGGGAACGATTAGTCTGGTTTGGAGTTAATTTGGTCATTATGGTCCACTTTGTGGTTGGACGTATAACCATATTCTTACATGCTCTTTCCTTTTGTTTTTGCAAAAATGGTTAGATCTATCGGAAGTGCAAAGCATCTAAAACGTAATAAAAATTAGATCGTTTTGAGATCGCCGAATGACCAACTATTGCCGCTTCCCAACAGGAGCCGGCTTGACCTTGTCGATGACAGAGGAGGTCTTCGTGCACTTGCCCTAAAGGCCAGCGCGCTTGAGCCGTAGTCATCACCGTTGAACCCTTGCATAGATCTGAAGCGTCTGACACAAAATATCGTCACATGACAAGAAACCCTACCCTCACCGTCCCAAGGAGAATGTAGGAATCTATGCCGGAGTTTCGTCGACTATTTCCTTTGTAACAAAATTCTTACTACTCTCTACCCTCAAAAAACAATGGTGACAGTTCACTTGTAATCAACTTCAGGAATTGGTCCCTGACCCAAAAACAAAGATAACCAGTGAATACCATGGATAATCGATAGCTAGATGCAGGCATAAATGGAAAGGAAAATACAAGCTCACTAAGGTAGCCAAGCACTTACATCTTATCAAATCTTTCCATCTCTATTAACAACTTAGCGGCTTCGTCCATCCCATGCGCAATACTACCAGTCATACATTCGTGAGAAAGTAACCTAGATAAACTTTGTGCTGCATTAGACCGCTAATGCTAGTTGACAGCATAACATGTATGGGATGCAAAGAGGATAAAGGAAAGATGAATGTGCTAGTAATATTACAAAAAGATCACGATGAGTTCAATTGCGGTATCATTAATTAAGTTGGTTCTTGAATTATGTACCTGGCTGACTGTTATGGCCAATAAAAAGTAAAAACACAAATATCAAGGCAAAACAACAAGAAAGACAGCCCAAATTCAACCAAGTCGAACAACACAAGAAGACAAATACCAATAATGGAACTGAGCTGCAAACCCACGTCAATGGTATCTTTATTTTTCTGCCAACGATAGCTAAGCATCTAAGCATCCAATATTATGCACTCCATATAAACTATCTACCCCAGACTAGCCAAGTTGGCTAAAGAAATAGAAGTCATAGTCACCTACAATCATCATAACATCCACAATCGGCACGCAACTAACTTAGATAAATTCTGATTGAGGGGGACTATTAGAGTGTGTGTTATTAACCATGTAATTTGTTGAGTTAAATTATTCGATTGTGATCTGGTTGATGTCGTGCCTTGTATATATCTGGCTTGAGAATCAAGCCATATGACAAACTAGATCATCTCCATTGTAAACTAAACTTGGACATGCCTTTTCAAATTCCAAAGCTGGTGCCGCCCCCTTGTAATATGGCGAGTATATACGCAATATGCAAATAAGCAAAAAAAATCAGTTTGTATAGAGAAATAAGTAATAACTCAAAGAATTCTTTTATTCCACAAAGAAAAACTTAGAGAATTCTTTTTTTTTTGTGAGAAACTTCTAATCTATTCATCTTCAATCATGGTAGTACAAAGAACAACAGAGGTAATAAAAATTAAAACCATGTCCGTGGACCACCTAGCGACGATTATAAGCACTAGAGCGAGCCGAAGGCGTGCAGTCGTCATCGCCCCTCCATCACCGGAGCCGGGCAAACCTTGTTGTAGTAAACAGTCGGGAAGTCGTCGTGCTAAGCCCCCATAGCACGAGCGCACCAGAGTAGCACCCATCTCCGATGAAGAAAGTCGTAGATCAGAAGGACCAAACCTATAAACACCTAAACGAAGACGAACGAAGACCGGATCCAAATAGATCCATCGAAAACCAGCACCGACCGAATCCTGCAAGATCCTACGAAGACAAACCTCCACACGCCCTCCGACGATGCTAGACGCACCATCGGGGTGAGGATAGAATGTGGGAGACATTATTCCTACTAAGGGACATCGCCGCCTCCACACAGCCCCAACCAAGACGCTGACTCTAACAGGAACGAGAACGGGGTCCCTCCCACCGGCGGGGGGCGAGATCCTCCGCACCTTCATGGCCTAGAGGCCATCGGAGATGGGACGGACCGGTGGCGGCGCCGGCGGGAGGAGAATAGCTTTTCTTATGTAGGAGGAAAGAGATCTGAGAATTCTTTGAGTAAGTTTGCCTCTAAGATTGCCACAGATGGCTACTACTGGTGTCCCAAAAATATTTCCCTGAAGACAAACTCCATGGAACCACTGTTAAACAAGGATTTCTACTATTGGTCAAGCCAAGCCAAGCCAACCCGAGCCAACCCAGATATTTTTTCAGTAGGGATTTCAAGAAGAAAAAAATAGAAGATCTTTGGAAACAAGAATAAAAAGATATTAGGAGATTGCAAGACGATCTTATCAGATCTCACCATGCATGCATGATGTTAATTACATACCCAACGTGACGTGCTACAGGGGCATTGAGATGAAGATGAGGATGAAAACATGGAGAGGGGGAAGCATGTGCTCGGCTCGATCAAACAAGAGGCATTGCTTGCACGGATGGGCGTAGATTTGTCCAGAACTCCAGATACAGATCGATGTATCTAAACATGTTTTACTGTGACATACATTCGTATCTACACAATTCTAAGACAAATAATTTAGGACCGAGAGAGTAGCAAGCAAGCAGTGTGGCAGATGGGAGAGAGCGTTATTTTTTGTAGAGCATGTAATGCTAGACAGTTGGCAAGCAAGAAATAATTATATAGCGAGGGAGAGAGATGCTAACTACTACTCCCTCCTTTCCTAAATATTTGTCTTTTTAGAGATTTTAAATGGACTAACATATACGGATATATATAAACATATTTTAGAGTGTAGATTCATTCATTTTGCTTCGTATGTAGTCACTTGTTGAAATCTCTATAAAAACAAATATTGAGGAACGGAGGGAGTATTTTGTAAACAAAGCGCTCCATGGAAATAAACATGAACCTTGCCCTCGGATTAACAGCTGGTTGATCGTCTTAGCAAAAGCTCTCCGATTTTTTTCATATAGAAAAACCAAATGGTCTTAGAACCTGCTTACGACTGGATCATGCAAGATCCAAGCCAGGAGGCAAGACAGTAATAAAGAAAGAAATGATAATATAGGATGAAGGTAGCACGTTTCTATCAAACCAAAGACTTTTTAGCCTTTCACAGACCCAAAGCGATATGCTCCATGTGCCACATATCCAATCCGCCCTCAGTTGCCTCCCCCGTCGTCACCGGCCAGGAGGGCGGATGGCGAGCAGCCAGCGGCGAAGAGGCCGCCGCCGCTGATCCGGGGGAAACGGCGATTGTCTGGACAATCGCCGCTTCCTCCGGATGCTCCGCGGCGAGAAGGAAATGTATAGTAACAAGGTTGATCTGTGTGCGCATGGATCCGAGAGGGAGATTGACTATGGTTTGGTTTGATTGGGAGCATCTCCGCAATCCAGCACTAAGAAACACAGGATTTTTCTCCACTTAGCTATGCAATTATTGCATGTAGTAGCTAGCTATCGCTGTGATGAGACGATAAAAAATTGTTAATCTGAGGGCATGTTTCACGCTTTTATATCTTTTAGAACAGTGATCTACAAGATCTTATATTAAGTTACAGAGGAAGTACATGGGAGTGCACAATATCACTGTTGAATACTCCGTTGAAATTTGTACATAATATTTTGATGTACATATAAATACATTTCGTCTATTCTACAAACGCTTGCAAAGTAGTTATTCTATACATCAAAAATACTGGAATAGAGAGACCCCTAAACTAGATAGTGAAAAAATTGCGAACTATACACCCTTAAGAGCTCATTTTAAACAATACTTTGTTATCTGCAAGCACTCCTCTGACTAGACAACCGAAGAATCTGACATCAAAACCAACCTTACCCGGCCTTCTCCGCAAAAAAAGACCTATTTTAAGTCAGCAGGAAGAGACAATGGCAACTTGCACATAAATCAAAATTTCAATATTTAAACCTACAGGGTGACATCAGAAGCTGGATTAATTATGCCATGCACATCCCACGCCATTTTAGTTAACAACTACTCCCTCCGTTCCTAAATATAAGTCTTTGGAGAGATTCCACTGTGGACCACATACAGAGCAAAATGAGTGAACTTACACTCTAAAATGCATCTATATACATCCGTATGTGGTTCATAGTGAAATCTCTACAAAGATTTATATTTAGGAACGGAGGGAGTATTTGTCAAGTCAACCTCACAAAAGGATGAGCTGGATTATTTGGCATATGACAGTAAACTATGTGCTACTTTCGATCGTAATATCCCTATAAGATAGCACATTGCTTCACACATTCTTCCATCTCATTGCAGTAGCATAAGTTCCATAACTGGAAGACAAGGTATACTCTCTCTCTCTCTCTCTCTCTCTCTGTGTGTGTGTGCGCGCGCGCGCGCAAATTTTAGCATTCTCTCCCCTTCACATGAGAGGTAAGATCTAAGTCATTAACTAGTGATCAAATTAAGTCTTAGCTTCTTACCTCTCATGTGAAAAGAGGGGGTAAGAGGGAGCATGTTAAAATTACTCCTCTCTCTCTCTCTCTCTCTCTCTCTCTAGCTAATCTTCGCAGTTTTTTGAATGGAATAAAAAAATATGTGCTTGCCCTCGCTCCTTAGAATGTATCAATTGAGATCATTTATGTATTCTGTTTTTTCCGAGGATTACATGCTCCTAAGAACTTATGTAGATATTTTTCCACAAAAAGGAATTTATGTGGAGATTTGCATGACACCGTGATTTGGTTTACTTTGAACACTTCCATAGAATACCATGTATATGACATCCTACTTATCTTAACATCCATCATTGTTTGTTCATTAGGACTGTCTGCTCCACAACACTAAGTTTCTACCAAAATGGATATAACATTTCGTCCGGGTGCGTGTTACAGTATAGCAGTTATTTTTCTCACCGCGATCATCACAAAAGTTATTGTAAGAAGAATTCTTGCTCCAAGGCCAGAAAAGGGGTCACTTCAGCCACCTATTGCAAGTGGTGCTTCTCTTGTAGCTGCTTTGCCTACAATCCTGACCAAGGGTTTACATCCAGTACTCCATGACCTGCATGCAAAGCTGGGCAGTGTATTCACAATAAATCTGTTTGGTTTAAAGAAGGTGACTTTATTGGTTGGACCGGAGGTCACATCTCATTTCTTTCAAGCCAAGAACTCGGAACTCTGCCACCCGGATATGTATAAATTCACTATCCCTATTTTCGGCAAAGGCGTTATTTTTGATGTGGATTTCGAAACCAGAAACAGACAGATACGCTTTGCTATAGATGCAATGAAGCCAACACAATTGAGAAGCAAAGTTGATTATATGGTTCATGAAGTACAGGCAAGCAACATACCGGTTATTATTATTATTATTATTATTATTATTATTATTATTATTATTATTATTATTATTATTATTATTTTTTATTATTATTATTATTATTATTATTATTATGCCTATAAATTACTTTGTGGGCACATAATATTTATGTTATATTCTTTTTACGAAGCTCTATGTTATATATATTGTAGTTGTTCTTTACTATAAGTATTGTTTTTGTGCAATATACAGTACAATATATTTCTTGCACAAAATTTAACAGTTCACAAACAATTAATTTACATTATTCAAACAAAATTGAAACTTCTAGTTAATTTGCTGGAATAAACTTCTTCATCAAAGCCGCAAGGTGACCTAGCTGGACAATATGGGCTTGTGCAGCTTGTACATGCCCAATCTCTTGTTTTTTTTTCCTAAAACAAGCACATGCCCTGCACATTTCTGACACAAATGACTTTGATCATAGTTAATAATTAAAATTCTAAACTTGAAAAGGCATATAATGTTTGTAAGGATGCCTGCTCAAAACCTAAATGTGTAGTCTATTTTGATAAACACCAGTATGTGCACTGAAAGCTCAGACACCAATTGGTCGACCAGTAGTTTGTATGCGAACAGATCACATAAGCCATCAAACCAAGGCATCGTATATGTTGGCAGTTTTGCTAGCGCTATGAGACTATCCAAACCTTTTCATTGTAAGTACCAAATATAGATGAGAACATCCTAGTCCGAAAGCGTGACTGCATATTCTCCTTAGCAGGTAACCTCTAGATAGCCTCCCCAAAATTCATAAACTTAAACTTTGCTCTCATGAAAAATTTATCTAGTTTGGGGCTGACAACTAAAACATAGAGGAACTAGTTGGGTATGTTCCACTACATGCACAATAGGAAGAAGAGAAGACTTTACAATATAATTTCTTATATGAACGTAACTAACGAGTGGCTCATTTCTCATGATGTTCATCTCTATTTTGTAGGACTACTTCTCAAAATGGGAGCAAGAGGGCATAATTGATCTAAAGCATGAGCTGGCAGAGGTACTCATGCTCATCGCAAGCCGTTGCTTGCTTGGAAAAGAGGTCCGTGAGAAGATGTTCGAAGAAGTCTCTGTGCTCATCAATGATCTCTGCAAAAATGGCATGCACTTCATCAGCCTTTTTTTCCCATATATCCCAATCCCAGCCCACCGGCAACGCGACAAAGCGCGTGCTAGGCTGGGAAATATATTCCATGAGATAGTGAGATCACGTAAAATCTCAGGCCAGGTTGAGGATGATGTGCTACAAAAACTTATTGACTCGAAATGCATGGAGGATGGGCGCTCTATGACCGAGAGTGAGATTACTGGGCTACTCATTAGCTTGTTGTTTGCTGGGCAACATGCGAGCTCAAGCGCTGCCTCCTGGGCGGGAGCTTGTCTAATAAGCCATGAAAAGTACTTAGCAGCCGCTGTAGAAGAGCAACAGAAAATCATTGGAAAACACGGACAAGATGTAGTAGTAGATTACAACATCTTGTTAGAGATGGGAACCTTACATTCCTGCATCAAAGAGGCAATAAGAATGCATTCTCCATCAGCAATGGTAATGCGCCATGTGAAGAAGAAGTTCACTGTACAAACTAGAGAAGGCTACAGCTATGAAATTCCACAAGGGCATACCGTAGCTACCTCTATAGTGGTTGGCAACCAGCTACCACATATTTATAAAGACCCTCATGTATATGACCCGTACCGTTTTGGTCCAGGGAGAGAGGAGGACAAAGCTGGCGGCAAGTTTGCATTCACATCATTTGGTGGTGGGAGGCATGCTTGCTTCGGGGAGGAATACTCTTACATGCAAATTAAAGTGATATGGAGTTTTTTGCTGAGGAACTTTGAGCTCAAAATGATTTCGCCTTTTCCAGAGGAAGAAATTGATAAATTCATACCAGGGCCTAAAGGAAGAGTGATGGTCAGTTACAAGAGGCGACTTCTTGTCAGTACCTAACCACTACTGATGAGATCGTAATTAAGGGTGGTTGTAATAAGTTTGTACTGTTATGTATGTCTACTTATGTAAGCAGTCCCTTACGAGTTGCAATGAAAGTACATGTAAGCCCATACTTTCAACTCGCAAAAACCAAAATCCATCCCTTGAGGTGTGACATGCCGCCCTTCCGCTATTATATTTGAGAACATATCACCAAAAATGGTTTGGCTCTATGTTTTTCTGTGGTGGATGGCTGAGAGTTGGATGATATGCTGAGAACTCATCTTGCAGAGTTGCAAGTGCATCGTAGCTTCATATGTTTTGACATTTCCCATGTCACGATTGATGTTTGGCCGTTTTTCTTCAGGTTTTTTTTGCTTTTTTTCCTTATTTCTTTATATATACTTTTCTTTTCTTAATTCACACACTTTTTAAAATTCGTTAACTTTCCCAAATTTATGATTTTTTTAATGAACAATTTCCAAACTCATAACCTTTTTCTAGTTCTGGATTTTTTTTAAATTCACACCATGCCAAGTTGTTTTCGTTTTCAAGAAATTTTGTATTTTCTAGAGTGTTGTTGGTCAAAAAAGGTGGATAAATGGTCGTACGTGTCGCAACTGGCATGCGGTGTTGGAAATCATTCAAATCTGGTATGGATGCTTTCCATGGGCATTCCCACCTTTTTTGCAAAAATTGGGGTTATTTCAAGAATGATCACAATTGGATCATGTTCAATGAAGGGTGTTAGGGTAGGTCAGAAGGCTCCATCTGAGAGCACATTGTTTCTCGACATTGTTGAACTGGCCCCATTTTTTACATCTCAAAGTGGATATGTTTACATTTGGTGGTGGGAGGCATCCTTGCACTGGAGAGGAATATGCTTACACGAAGAATAAAGCAATTGGAGTTGTTTCCTATGCAACTTTGAGTTAAAAATTACTTCTCCTTTCCTAGAGGAAGAATTTGATAAAATCATTTCTAGCCCTAAAAGGGAAGGTGATGGTTTGTTACAAGAGGCGACTTCTTGTTAGCGCCTAATTTTGGAGTCAATGTGTAAGCAATCATCTTGCAATGTATTGTTCTTACAGAAGTACCTCATCCAATAAATAAGCACCAATTGCACCACACATCTATTATTCAAACCATCTTATCATTTTTGTTGTTATGCTTCCAAATTATATTCACCTTTTGCATAGCATCCTGGCAGAAGAATTTGAGGCTTTCTTGGTTTGATTGTGACTTGTGGTGGTTATTCTTTCTTGCTAGCCGCTAGCACCTCTATTGGACATGCTTTGATCGGTGGCTCTGCACTAGGTTGGCTTTAAGATACGGAGATACCGAGACATAGTTGATAACAATTTTTTTATCGTCTCAATCGATTGAGATTTTTTTTTACATCTCAAAGGCCGACAAACACGACTGCGATTTTTTTTGTGTGGTCCCAATCGACTAGGATTTTCTAGCCACCTATCTTCTGACAAGTTAGCCTGAAATATATTTCAATATATAATAGATATCCGTTCATTCTAAAATGCAAATGTAGTTTTAAATAATTTTCATTTAATTTACAAAACATTTATATTTTTAAAAGAGGTGTTCATGTAATTTTATTAAATATTTGGACATTTATATAAAAATTCTCATGCAGTTTCAAATAATATTCATTAATTTTAAAAATTACAGGAAATTTGAAAGTTGTTCACCCTTTTAGAAAAGTGTTCATGCAATTTAAAAATGTGTTTACACTTTTAGAAAAATATACGTGAATTCCAAAAAATGTTCGGTATAGATTAGAATTCAAAAAAAAATTATTTAGAAAATGGGAAATAAATACAAAAGTGAAATCCAAAAAGGTGAAAATAAAAGAAAATGATAAAAAGAGATAAACATTGCAAAGACAAAATACCCATAAACAGCGAATGTGACTTAAATGGCCTAGGCCCACTAAGCGAAATAATGGGCCATTGTATGCTATAAGATGCACACAGAAAAAGATTCTAACAAAAGCAGTTGCGCTGCTCATTCTCAAAGAAATAAAACTGAAAATAACAGGTGTGCGGCTTACTCATGATAAGAGAGAGGAGCCCTAGTTGACACTATGTGTGTCAAAATGCTGGACAAACACACATATCCCATAGGGCCATACCACATTGGTGCTACCTACAGTAGGTAATTTAAGGTTTTGTTTTGCATGCTTTTAGTTTTTCTAGCTACCCGGCTACACTAGAAAAAGGTTTAACAAAGGATGAACTGATTGTAAGAAATGGCCATGAAAATAAAAAATATCGAATTTAAAATGCTCTCCAATCAAAATTTGATCATGAAGTTTAAAAATATTCATGTTTTTACAAAAGTCCTTAAATTTAATAAATTTTATCTAATTTAAGTAATATTCCTGAATTTTAAAAAAATGTTCTGAAAGATAAGAGCATTTAGATCTTGTAATTCTTTATGGAGGGAGTATTTGTGTATATATTTCATTTTTGTGGAACATGTAAGGGACATATGTGGATATCGTTGGCTATCTAAAAAAACTACCAACCAGAGCATCGAGCCTGGACTATAGCTAATATGCGTTTGGATCATCACTTGCCTTCGGCGAACGAGTGTAAATTATGAATCAAGATTCTTCTTTGTGAGCTTATTAAAATCTATCATTTTAATATACTCAATGATGTTATGGTGCCTATCTGATCATGGTATGAGCCCGTAGCAACGCACGGGCTTTCTACTAGTAGCCATAAACAACGAATGTGACTTAAATGGGCTCGGCCAACTAAGCGAACTAGTGGGCCATTATTGTATGCTGTAAGAGGCTAAAAAAAGATGCTAATAAAAGCAGTTGCGCTGCTCATTCTCAAAAAAATAAAATATCAGTTGTGCGGCTTAGTCATGACAAGAGAGGGGAACCCTATTTGATGCTCTGTGTGTCAAAATGCCGGACAAACCCACATATCCCATAGGGCCGTCCCATGTTGGTGCTACATACAGTAGGTAATTTAAGGTTTTTTGTGTCCTTTTAATTTTTCTAGCTAGCCGGTCACGCTAGAAAAAGGTTTAAGAAAGGATGAACTGATTTTAAGAAATGGTCATGAAAATTTAAAAATGTTCTCGAATCTAAAATTTTACCATGAATTTTAAAAACGTTCATATTTTTAAAAAGTCATTACAATTTAGAAAAATATTTTCTAATTTAATTAATATTACTGAATTTTAAAAAATGGTATCAAAATTAGAAAAAAGGATTGCATAAATTTAAAATTTTAAAATAAAGAAACCACTGAATAAAACCTAAAAATGGCAAAAAGGAAAAAAGAATAAATAAAAATAAAAATCCAGATGAAAACCGGTGGAGAAGAATAGAAATAAAAATGCCCAACATGAAGAACCAGTAAAAACCGCTCCTCCTATTGGGCCTGTCCTAGCTACTTGGCCCTTGTGCAAATCGGCAATAATTTGACACAATATGGTTCAAATGGTAAATCACACAAGAAAGAAATATAGCCATCTAAAAAAAGCATGAGAAAGAGATAGTTTTTGCACGAACTGGCACATAAACGCCAAAGTTTTAGTTACCCAAGTCGCGTACACGTAAATCCACAAACTAGTCTAGCATAGCATAGCGTGTCATCAGATCAGATGTAAAGCAACAAATGATGATAGTATGCGTGATTGAATGAAACTATATATAGGTGTAAGGGCAACTCCAACACACGACTTCAAGCAGACGTCCGATTCATCCGCTTTTCGTCCGTTTGAGGCACGAAAACGGACACGTCTGTCCATTTGTGATCGTGCGACAGGCACGCCTCGTCCCAAATCGTTCGGGTTTGTGGACTTCGAATTTTTGCACAAAAGATAATAATAAACTAAGAAATAATACGAAAAACATAAATATAAACATAAACGTCCACACGTTAATAGTACCTAAGTTCAACACAGGTCTTACTTAAACTAAAACATAATAAAAGATATTAAAAAAACCTGAAATAGACCCGTCTCCGGTGAGCGCCGTTGTCGTCAAGAGCCACCGTCCTACTCGTCGTCGTCACTGATGAGGTCGACGTAGGGAGGTGGCTGCCAAAGGTGTGCCGGCGGCCCCTGCCAGACCGGATGCGCCTGCACCACCTCCTCACATGGCTCTTGCTCCTGCTCTGGTACGGTGACCGCGGCGACGTGGCTGACCATGGACCTACGCCCACCGAGTCGGCCATCTCCGGCGCGGTGCACGACCAGCTCCACTGCTGGCCCACCAGACGTGGGTTCCACACGGCGACGGGCAGCTCCTCCACAACCTCCTCCTGCTGCACCTCCTCCTTGACGTCGAGTTCCAACTCCGGGATGGCCAAGTCGCCGGCCACAGAGAGGGCCAACACGGTTTCCATGCCATCCCATTGCCGCTCGTCATGGGTGGACACTGAGTCCTCCATGACCCGCCTAATGAGGCGGGCCTCCTCCTCCTCGGTCATGGGCGGCAGCGGTGGCGGGGACAAGGACAGAGAAGGCGTCAGCTCGATGCCGCATACACGCCTACGGCCCCGCGTTTTGGGAGGGCTGTCAGCATGAGGAGGACGCGGGCTAGGAGGACGACCATCAAAAAAATATTGCTGCTGCTATTCGTGCTCGTCGAGGAGCCACGTATCCCAGAGCGGCCAATCTATGGCGTACCTGGGTCCTCTAGTAGATCAGGTGGGAGGCGGGCACGTCGTTGGTTGATCTCCACGCTGCATAGTCTTTGGTTGAAAGAATAAGCTAGCATTGGAAGTATAAAAATTCTGGCCACTGCTGCGTGGCCCTATCTTCGATGTGTGCAACGGTTTTATGCGCGGCTTCGTGGATATAGCTAGGCTTAACTACGGGGTTCTCTCGCTCATTCCGAAAGTTCCGGGTGCGGACAACATTCGTCAGTACAGGCCTATTGCTCTTATTAATGTCCCGTTCAAGATTTGTGCTAAAGGTTGCGCAACTAGGCTTTCTCCGGTCGCTCACCGCATCATTAGTCGCTCGCAGTCGGC